ACCTCAGAAAAATGCACTATGGAAAACTCAAAATAAATATGCTATGATATGACTAAGTCTCAAAGTGTATTGAGAGTATTAGAACACTCGCTGCTTGCAGCATACAGCCTCTTCATTCTCTGCCCTTGTTAACTTCTCCTCCAAGCCTTCCCTCCCCCACCACACCCAATCTACTGTTAAAAAGTGTTCTAAAACCAGGCTGATGGCAGAAGTCCCAGCTTCAGCAACCCTCTTTGTTAACGGCATCAGTTGGCTCAGGAGTTCATGTGAGCAGGCATCAGGAATAATTTCATGATAATCTAGGTTGAGTTTTCTCTTTCCCATCAATGCCAGAGAGTGAGAATGCCAGTCCCACTGATTTCAGGAGCCGGCACAGGACACAGGACTGGGCTTTATCTCAGTAGTCAAGTTTCTTTTATTGGATTGCCTATGGGGGAAAACAAAATCCCAGCTCTCAGGCATCACAGCGAACGATTCTGAGAGCTTTTACTTGATCTCAAACCCTATCTGTGTATTTATGCACATTTTGGTTCTTTTCAAAACAACCCTTTCATTTCACTAGTGACTAACAGAATAGCAATACATTTTGGCTAGGCAGAATGTGAGAAGCGAAGTTACATTTGAAAAAGAGTATTTTCTTTTAGGACATAAAAGATAACTCGCTCAACAACTGGCAACTGTGAAACCACTTTGCCAACAACAGGGTCCCAAGGAGGAGAGCCAACCCATTTTAAACATGTCTTCATTTCATTGAAATTTCAGGACTGTTTTTTTTAAAACATTCAAAAGACAGCGTTTTAAAGGCAAGCATATAAAATGTAAATTGCTTCCTCTGGTTATTGCGGAGAGAGAGGCCGTTGTTCCTATTCTTGTTTTTGAATGAGGAGAACGTGCTCGTCAGTTCTGGGTGGGCTGCATTAACTCGGACGCACTGAATACCACAATGGCTAAGTCAGAGCTGACTTCTAAGTCCTGGCTCCATCTTTTATTAGCTGTGTGACTTTGGGTAAGTTAATCAACCTTTCTGTGTTTTATTTTTCCGCCAGTATAAATAGAGAGAAATCATTATGGCCATCTCATAGGACTCTGTTATAAATATTTAATGAGGCTGTGTTTGTAAAGCCACCTTGTACAGGATAATTATATCATAAAATAAAAGCTCAATAAAAGTAAAATACATTCCTGTTTCTTTTGTCATGGATCCGGCCTGAGGAGTCCCAGAAACCAACTTCAAGAAGACCACCAGGAGTTTGCTACCAGCCTGGGCAATATGGTGACACCCTGTCTTTACAAAAAAAAATTAAAAATTAACTAGGCATGGTAGTGTACACCTGTAGTCCCAGCTACTCAGGAGGCTGAGGTGGGAGGATCACCTGAGCCCAAGAGTGTGAGGCTGCAGTGAGCTATGATTGTGCTGCTGTGCTCCAACCCGGGTGACAGAGCAAGAACTTGTCTCAAAAACCAAAACAAAAAGAGGCAGGCCTTAAAAAACCTGAATATGAGAGAAAAACTATTGCAGGCTCCAAACCTCAGGTCTGAACAATGGGACATGTGCTCTGTACCCCCCAGTGATGCTCTCTGCACATAAATGTTCAAGTTTAGGGAGCTCCTAGCAATAGTGGGAGAGGGAGCTTAATTCAGAACACGACTTCTAGCTCCTTCAGCCCAGTGCAGGTCTGGCTTTGAGTAGCATCAGGAATCAACTTCTGTGTGTTCCTCACATTGGAACTCTCCAAGTTATTGGTCTGGTTTTCCATTCACAGCCTTTCGACCTGGCATTTTCTTGAGTTTTAGCTCTACCAGGCCTGTGGACATGGAACCCTGGCCTTCCAGCTCTGTCTTAAAGATTGTCTCCTAGTGATCTCACTCCTGGGCTGGCACTTCTCCCTTATGAGAGACCCTCTGTCACTGACTGGGGGACTATTTTAGTTCTACAGAGAACAGGGCATTTTGTCACTAATGACAAAGGACCAAGTGGAATATTATGAGTAAGTTATACAAAAACTATCCTCTGTAAACCAATCTTGCTAGTATATTTTACGTTTTTATTTTTATTTTATTTTTTTATTTAGTTTTGAGACAAGGTCTCCCTCTATCACCAAGGCTGGAGTGCCATGGTGCAATCTCAACTCACTGCCACCTCTGCCTTCCAGGCTCAAGCGATACTCCTGCCTCAGTCTCTCAGGTAGCTGGGACTAAAGGTGCGTGTCACCATGCCCGGCTAATTTTGTATTTTTTTTTATAGAGACTGGATCTCTCTCTGTTGCCCAGGCTGTTCTCAAACTCCTGGGCTCAAGCAATCCACCTGCCTCGGCCTCTCAAAGTGTTGGGATTACAGGTGTGAGTCACTACACCCGGCCTAGATTTTATTTTGTTAATGCAATGTTTCTGGGAGATGCTTTCTTAGAACACAATAAATATAAAACTACAAAAGAAAAGTCAATCTCAAAATAACTCTTAATTAGGATTTTTAGACTAGGTTAGGGAACTGTTTGGATTGTAAAGGAAAATCCTAGGAGCTTATTTTTAAAAAACAGTCTTAAGTTTGTACAGTGAAAAAAAAGATGGTGGAAAACCAAAGTGTTCTTTGTAAGTTCCAATAAAAAAAACACACACACACATTATACTTTGCTGGAGATCCTAAAACGGGGGGAAAATATTGATGATCTATCATCTCTGAGCATGTTTCATGGTGCTTTAAAAAGTCCCTTTTAAAGTGTGAATTAATATATATCTCCATAGAAACAATTTTTTAGGATGCCCTAGAGGTTTTGAACATGTTTATGCTTCTTTACACAGAAATTCTAGTTCTAAGTTGCTTTCCTACAACAAATATTTCTTGAGTGCCTACTCAAGAACTCTTGTCCAGAACTTTTCAGGGCAGTTGAGAGACATCCAAGAAGAATGACACTTAACCACTGTCCTCTCTGAGCTTACATTCGAGAGGGTAGTTACAGATAAAGATGCAGATATTGAAGGAGTAAATTATAGAGCATGTTTGAGGGATTAGTGCTAGGGAAAAAGCAATGCAGGAAGGGGGACCAGGAACGTAGCTCGGCATGTAGCAGGTTACAGCATAAATAGGGATCTATAGCAACATTTTTAATGGCTACAAAGCATTTCATTATTTGGAAGCACCATAGTTTACTACCAATTTAATTTATTCCAAATTCATTATTATACATAAAGATTCAACGAACATCCTTATATGTCTGCCTATCTGTCTATCTATCTATCTATGCCTATCTAGCTATCGATCTATTTTTTTTAAGACAAGGTCTTGCTTTGTTACCCAGACTGGAGTGCAGTGGTGCAATCTCAGTTCACTGCAAACTCCGCCTCCTGGGTTCAAGCTCTTCTCCTGCCTCAACCTCCCGAGTAGCTGGGATTACAGGCACACGCCACCACACCCGGCTAAGTTTTGTATTTTTTGTAGAGACAGGATTTCACCATATTGGCCAGGCTGCTCTCGAACTCCTGACCTCAAATGATTCTCTCACCCCAGCCTCTCAAAGTATTGGGATTACAGGCATGAGCCATTGGGCCTAGTCTGTCTATCTATCTATCTATCTATCTATCTATCTATCTATCAATCAATCAATCATCTATCTAATACCTGTTTGGTTGTTTTCTTAGAATAAATTTCTAAAAGTTAAATTACTAAGTCAAATTTTTAAAATTTTATTTATTCTTATTTTTATTTATTTTATTTTTATTTTTGAGACAGAGTCTCACTCTGTCACCTAAGCAGGAGTGCAGGGGCACGATCTCAGCTCACTGCAACCTCTGCCTCCCAGGATCAAGGGATCCTCCTACCTCAGCCTCCTGAGCAGCTGGGACTACTGGCAAGCCAGCTTCATTTCTGTGGGGTTTTTGTGTGTGTGTGTGTGTGTGTGTTTTGTAGAAATGGGGTTTTGCCATGTTGCCCAGGCTGGACTCGAACTCCTGGGCTCAAGTGATCCTCCTGACTTGGTGTCTCAAAGTGCTGGGACTGCAGGCGTGAGCCACCATGCTGGGCCAAGTCAAATATTGTAAGTTTAAAGCTTATCTTAATAGTAATCAATTATAATATTAGAATTTCCCCAAATAAAAATATATGGTTATAAGTTTTTCACCAGGAAAGAGATCACTGACATTCAATGAGTTTTTCCAAGATCTTCACAAGAGCACTGATGTGTCCTACCATTTAATCTTATATCTACTTGCTTTCTATTTTTAATCTGATAGTTCAAACTTAGTTCTGGCTCAGACCAAGGCAAACATCCCACCAATGAGAGATACTCAACAGCAGAATGGCCACAAGTTAACTAGTCATTTGTTGGCAAAACTTTTTAAATTCTGTTGATGAATGGCATAGAAATGATCAATTGTATTAAAGCATGGTCTTTACGTTTCAGAGTGGTATGTAATGTTGTGGAGAATAAGTTTCAGATTTTATAGGTTGAATCATATAAAATTGAGGGTCTTCAACTATTTTTAACGTATAAAATTGACCATTTTGTGTGGGTCAGTCTAGGAACTTGGAAGTTCATTGGTTGCTTAGAGAAAAGTGATGGAGTAAATTCCACATGAAAATCCCTTTGGCCAATAAGGACATCTCACTCATGAAATAACTCTTAAATATATTATGATTATATCAGATGTTGCAAATATCTTGTCAATTTTTAAAAATGCTTTGAATGAATTCAATTAACAATGTTTGGTCACAGTGTGCTAACAACTTCAGAGCTAAACATAACATCAAATTTTAATTTGGGGACTATGGGGACTTGGAGGAAAAGGTGGCAGGTGGTGAGGAATAAAAGACTACACATTAGGTACAGTGTACACTGCTTGGGTGATATGTGCACCAAAATATCAGAAATTACCACCAAAGAGCTTATTCATATAACCAACACCACCTGTTCCCCACAGACCTATTTAAATAAAAAGATAAATAAAATAAATGTTTGACTGAATATGCAATAGAGAATAAATTCCACTTACTGTATTTTATGGAATGCAGTGTTGCCCTTTTCAGGAAAAAAAAAAAAAAAATTTTTTTTTTTTGAGATGGAGTTTCGCTCTTGTCACCCAGGCTGGAGTGCAATGGCATGGTCCTGGTTCACTGCAACCTTCGCCTCCCGGGTTCAAGCAATTCTCCTGCCTCGGCCTCCCAAGTAGCTGGGATTATAGGTGCCCGCCACCATGCCCGGATAATTTTTGTATTTTTAGTAGAGATGGGGTTTCACTATGTTGGCCAGGCTGGTCTTGAACTCCTGACCTCAGGTGATCTGCCTGCCTCGGCCTTCCAAAGTGCTGGGATTACAGACATGAGCCACCGCACCCGGCCCAAAAAATTGTTTTTAAAAAGAAAATAAATTCTGCTCTTCTGAAATTGATGAAAGTCTGATGAGAGAAATTGAGTGAACGTCTCATAGAGATGCCAAGCTAAGTTTTCTGTTGTTAATTAGATCACTGAAAAATCTCATGCTATAGAACACATTTGAATAAATTTGCTACCACAAAATGTACAGACAATAAAATAATGGAGTGGTCTACCCACTTCCAGTGTCTAAACTGAACGCTAACTGCAGCAGAAGGATGCTTGTAGCTGAAACCCAATTAAAATGTCTTAAATTATAAAGACTTTTCTCTTTTTACATAACCAAAAGTCTGGATGTCTCAACACTGTCATCAAGGACTTGGGTGCTGTCCCTCTTTCTGCATCTTTAATGTGTTGTCCAGGTATCTAGGTGTGGCATCTCATGATTGCCAGATAGCTTCTTAGTTCTAGGGTCATGAGCACCCCTCAAGAGTGCCTTGCTGGGCTATGCTCTCACATGCCTTTCAGACATCCCCTGGCCCCAGTGTTTGGAAATACGGTCAGGTGTGGTGACTCACGCCTCTAATCCCAGCACTTTGGGATGCGAAGGTGGACGGATCACCCGAGGTCAGGAGTTCGAGACCAGCCTGACCAACATGGTAAAACCCCTTTCTCTACTAAAAGTACAAAAATTAGCTGAGTGTGTGGTGGGCACCTGTAATCCCAGCTACTCGGGAGGCTGTGGCAGGAGAATTGCTAGAATCCAGAAGGTGGATGTTGCAGTGAGTCAAGATTGCGCCACTGCACTCCAGACTGGGCAACAGAGTGAGACCCTGTTTCAAAAAACAAACAAACAAACAAAAAAACCCAAAATACTACAGTGTTAAGGGGGCCTATAACACTTTGATTATTGACATCAGTCAACTTCATCCTTGAAGAATGAGAAAGAGCTCAGCCTCCCCTAAAGAACGTGACTGTTTAGATAAGGATGAGCAAAACAGAGGTACTATTAGCAAGAAAGAAATGGGGGAATGCATATTGGAGAGGGACCCTAGAGCATAGGTCTTAATGGCAAAGTCAGTAATAAATTTAAATGGATCATCAAAAAAAAGGTGCAAGTGCCCTGCCTTGGATGTTCCATAACTCAGCACCTCTGGATTCAGATCTGATTTCAACTGGAATCCAGGTCATCGTACGCTCTCCCCAACATTGACTCATAACTATAAGCTGAGTTTTGGTGAAGTGAATCTAATTTTCCCTTTGATTTATTTTATGATAAACTTTCACCACATTTTCCTGTAGTCTGAATTTAAAACGGTTTGTGAGAGTGTGATTAAGCAATGGATCAAGTCCACAAAATATTGGGCGATATAACACTTTGTCCTTCTGGAAATGCTTTGTAACTGAGGACACTTTTCCTGACTCACCATCTGTCCTCCTTGGGTCGTCACCTTTGTTCAAACTCTGCAGATCTTTGATCTGTCTGACTCCACACTTACCATTTCTGCCCCTGCACTCTCTCTCTCTTCTTTTGTCTGAGAGTGGAGAACGTCTGAGAGATTGCATCACAGTCATACTAACCCTTGGTACTGTACAGCCTAATGGGATAAGAAAGGTTCAGTCAGTCAGACATCTATTCACATCTCAGCGTCCTTTTGTCTGAAGGATTTTGGTTTTAGAAAATTAATTTGTGCTCTAATTTATCAACTTGGCAAGTTAGAAATCTGTAAACCAAGGTAAACAATGTTCGTTTTGCTCTATAAAATCGGACCTGTAGACACCACAGAGTGCAACCTGAACAGTTAAAAAGTAAAACCCAGTGAGCAACAAGCAAACTACCTTTGCTCCCGTTTGCCTTAGGGGAGGAAACTTTTCATGGCGGGGCTTGCAAAACAACCAACTAAATAACTTTTACATGATTAATGGGGTGAAGGTTAGACTAAACTGTGATGTCTTCCCTCCAAAAATTAGGAAGATTTAAAAAGCTCTTTCCTTTATTTAGTACAAGGAAGGCTGCAGTTTTTATTTTATGTATGTATTTATTTATGTATGTATTTATTTGTTTTTGAGTTGGAGTTTTGCTCTTGTTGCCCAGGCTGGAGTGCCAATGGCGCGATCTCTGCTCACTGTAACCTCTGCCTCCCAGGTTCAAGCAATTCTCCTGCCTCAGCCTCCCGAGTACCTGGGATTACAGGCGCCGCCATCACGCCCGGCTAAAGTTTTTAGAAGGAAGAGTGTATTTGCTTTAGAAGAAAATGAATCTAGTCTGGCACAGTGACTCACACCTGTAATCCCAGCACTTTGGGAGGCCAAGGCAGGGGGATCGGTTGAACCCAGGAGTTTGACATCAGCCTGGGCAACATGGTGAAACCCCGTCTTTACAAAAAATACAGAAATTAGCGGGGCTTGGGGTCACACATGCCTGTAGTCCCAGCTACTGGGGAGGCTGAGGTGGGAGGATCACCTGAGCCCAGGGAAGTTGAGACTGCAGTGAGCCATGACTATACCACTGCACTCCAGCCTGGGCTACAGAGTGAGACTTTGTCTCAAAATAAAATAAAATAAAATAAAATAAAAAATAAATAAAATAAAAT